GAGTCAAGCAGATCGCTGCAGCTAGTTCCTAGGGAAAAGATGAGATTGATAAAAAATTGTTGAGAATAAACCACGCCATGTATAGTTCCTCACATAAAAATTTTTAGGGGAACTTGGACTTCTTAAAAATCATTCCAGCAACTTGGTAACGCAATTGGCATATTTGCATCTTGTTCAGAAATCTAGTTCTGAATGGAGTAGTTTGATAAAATATCTGGGAATTAAAAAAAAATACTGTTTTAGAGACCAGTTGTCATGCTTCACATCATCAAAATGGTCCCTTTTCATTTTTGAACAGATTTATCAGAATTGACACAATTCCAACAAGTGCAAGTTAACTGTGACTGGAAGTTGATCAAATTATGAGCAATTCCTGCATATTTGGGAATTCAAATCAGAATTTAGAGCTCCACTTAAGTGTGGTCACCCGTAGAGCTAAGAATTTAGTATTCATCTTCATTTTTATAGGTATACTTACCTATTTTGCATTTCTTCCCAGTATAACCAAACTGACATACACAGAGGTAACCCTTTTCCATAAATCCATTTAAGCAGGTCATATTCTGAGGACATGGGTTATTTAAGCATGAGTTCTGTCGATAAATCACAGACACAATTCAGAAATTATTAAAACTCTAAGAAGAAGTGATATATCCTAACTTAAAGCTTCAGTTTGAAGTTCAAAGGGGTTAGTCTGAAAGCCGATGAAAAGATTACAAATTTTCATGAAAGGATAGATAAACAAGAAGTATCAGGAAAACCCAAATATTAAGATAGAATCGTATGCAGTCGAAATATCTCACCTCACTGTTTTGATACACGAACCCTTCTAGAGTTTCAAGATCTTTAGGATGCTGGATGTGATCAGAATCACTCAGCTGACACAAAACTTGGTCTTTTATTGGAGGACCTACGTTGTATGACACACAGTTATCGTCCAAAGTGCATCGCCCTCTACAGGAACCTCGCATTCCAAATCCTAATGTTATGTGATTACATGGTTAACAAGTGCTTTGTTATGAAAAGGTGAGCCAAACGAGAACCGCCGGCAATGATCTAGGAAGGCAAAAATACAAAAATCAGCATTTTCTTTTTTCACAAAGGTTACGCACTGAAAGAAAAGTAATAAAAGAATTAAGTTCGTTTCTCAAAAATAAGAGAACGATTACGTAACGTCAATGAATATAAAGCAATCGTTATAAGCAGTGTCTACTAGTAGCGAAAACTATACCATGCAGGTGCATTTTAGTGTCACTACAAAGCACATTTGTCTCAATTATTATGATAGACCCCAAGTGTTTTTCCAGTCTGGGGCTAGAACCCACGCACGGAAGTCCTACGGGCCTTTACAACATGAGCCAACCAAAACGAACATTAATGACAATGGCAATCGTTAGTGACAATGTCTGCCAGTATCAGCAATAACAGTTTGCAGGTGTAATAAGGTTTAAGCGACGAATGACTATAAGTGATGACTTTCTTTGGAACAAACAGTTGATGTACAAATGCTTCTCTGATTAATTTGTTCGATGAAATTCAAAAACTTTTTCTCGAAATTTACACGAGAATGCTAGAAAGAAAAGAAAAAAACCAAATAAGGAAGGAAAAAATGATGGCCGTTGGTTTGTTACTAAGTGTAAAGGTGTTCTGTCTTAATGAAATTACCATTCGCATCACAACAGAAACTAAATCTTGCTCGACAGATCCCAATTGTCTTTATCGCAAGACATTACGCAATAGAACAGAACTTTGCTAGGATCTATATCTGAGAAAGTGTAAACTTTCGAATCTGTCGCTTTTCGCAATCTTTCCCATGGTGTTTTCTTTTCGGTTGAACTCTTTTTCAGGCGCGCGTTTAAAAAACCCCATGGACACTCCTTAAAAAAAACTTATGGGGTCACTTCAGATATCAAATGTTTTAATTCTCCTTCTTGGCAGAAAAAAAAACAAAAAAAACAAAAAAAACAAAAAAAAAATTAACTGGCTGTGGGTAACTATGAAATAATCAACGATAGACACATTCGGCATTCTAAAATTTCACATTAGGGCATGGGAAAAGACACAAGTGTCAAGAAAGTCATATTTATCTTTCAGTTCAACTAATTAGAAATCATGTCAAGCAAGGAACAGCTGAGAAAAGTTTGAATAACATTCATAATAATGTCCTGTTTATTCAAAAGTTCAACAATATTCATGAATAAAAGTACTCATCACCAAAGGCTCTATAAGGATAGTTAAAGTTATAACTGAAACAAACAGAAGAACTTGTTTACTGGAATTGTTAATGTAAATTCACTTTAACATAAACAGTAAGCGCCGAGTGACTTTGGTCACGAATTTTTTGTTTAAGTTAGGTACTGTTGAAAGAAATTAAATCTAAGAAATAATGCTAGAAATAATGTTAATAATAGTAAGACATAACATCAAATATTAGGGATTCATGTAGAATTAAGAGGATGACTCAAAAGATTGGGGATGATTATTATACAGTTTTGGAGTCGTGTTAAAGATGTGTGAAGCTGGACTCTAGAAGATTGAATTTTTTCCCCTTCTTTCCGATGAAATCTTAGCGAGAGCGCAAACACCCTTATTAGAATGTTATTTTTTTCGGTATCTTTAGCATACATGTAACCTAAGCATACATCAAAAGAGCTCTTCGATCAAAGTCTTCCCTTTGCGTGTTTCGTAAAATTACATGAAGGTTGTGTGTGTTGGAGCAAGCTACTACTTTTGAAGAGAAGAGTTATTCATCTTGCTACTAGCATGGACCAATAAGATACTGTAGTCCTTTACTACTATTCCTCCTATTCCGAGTTGCGTTAGTCCACCATCTTGATCCGGAAAACTCGTCGGCGGACTGAGTCTTTTTTCTCATTCTATTCTATTGAATTTGATGCGAAAACCAATTTGCTAGAGAGATTTTTTAATCAGTTGTTAATTGTTCTGAATAGAATAACCCAGCAAAGAGGAAAGTGCTTTTGAGATTTTCTCCTTCACTGCTTTTCTTACTTCAGCAATCTTCCAGCAATAAAGAAACGGGTTAAGCGATGAGTTTAAGTAAACTAAAGTTACTGTACTTTCCAAGACTACAAACTCCAACGAGGACAGTTCATTTTGAGATTGAAAAAGTCCTGTCGCTATGCTATATGGTAGATAGCAAACGATCAGTGCCAACTGCACCCACAGTGCACTGTTTACAGCCTTTCTGTATCGAATCATATTCAGTGGAACTGGTTTGCCCGGCTGTGGTGGAAAAAAAACTTGCCCTCGTACATGATTTTGTCGGAGAGCACAGAAAATTTTTATGTACGATAACGTTGCTGTTATGATACAAAGCGATACAACACCATAGCTACACCAGCCGGCCACGCGGTAATTTAAAACGTGCGATATCCCAGCGGTTATCGAAAAAGCCCAAATGATGACAACAATTACGCAAGTTCGTTTCAGAGTTACAGCGTGCCCGAATCTCTGCCCCAGCAACAAGGCGAGAAGTCTGTCCACACTTATTGCGGTCATCGTTAAGAGAGAAACTAAAGAAAGAATATAGTAGC